ACTCAGTTGTGTGAACTTTCTTTTCGATGGGGTTGTTACTTTATGAAACAAGGAAATAAATGTTTTTGCTGAATGTGTAATAAAACTATCAAAAAACACAAATATATATATATATATATATCTATATAAACCGAAGTTGTAGCTCTCTTTCTTCCGCTGATATCACTAATATTACTGCGTAGATATAAAATAACAACTATAAAAAAGAGATCATTTTATTTATATTCTGTTTAGTTTTTTTTTTTCTTTTTACTTTCAAAAATCTTGTTAATTAATTTAAAACTGGACCCAACGTATGTTGATTCATCATATTCAACACTGTCCCCGTTTCGGAAGAAAGAATTATACTTTGATATGAGGACTTATTAAAAACGATTTTTTTAGATAAGTCATGGTAGCAGAATTCTGTATATTTTTACTCGAAGTGAATGGTTTTTACCTTTTCTCATGAAGTAAACTTGAGTAAGCCCTTTTACTTTAGAGTGTATAAAAAGAACAACAAAATGGTGTTCTTGCCACCATGGGATTTTGAAATTTTGTCTGGTTTGTTTTGTTTTGAATTTTGCGCAAAGCTACACGAGGGTTATCTGCGTTAGCCGTCTCTAATTTAGCAGTGATAGATTAGAGGGAAGGCAGATATTCATCACCACCCATCGCCAACTCTTTAACCAACGAATATTGGGATTAATCGTCACTTATAACGCCCTCACGGCTGAAAGGGCGGCATGTTTGGTGGAACGGGAATTCGAACCCGCAGATTGCGAGTCGAGCGCCCTAACCACCTGGTCATACCAGCCCAAAATGTTCTCTGTTAATATTTAAAATTCACGCGAAAAACTACGCATTTGTTATCTGCGAACGTATAGCTGTTGCTACTAGATGGAAGTCAGCGAGTCAACAGCACCAACGTGCCAGTTCTTGCACTACACTAGTATGAACGATTAGTTGGATTTAGCTGTCACTCTTATAGCGCACCGTTGGCCCCAAAGTGGGGAGCGCAATTAACCGTCAACGGGATGTAAACCATGAATCCGGGCACAATCCAGAGATGTTAACCATACACGGCCCAATCTATCGTCTGTAAATGTGTAAAAGAGAATGTCCTTGTCTTCTTGGAAATCGACATTCTGGGGTTGACGAATCTTTACGAATTAATTCTATAAATTATTCTGAAAAGCATGGATAAATATTGAGTTACATTGGAAGGCGCGAGCAAACCGACATTTTGTGACTATTTATCTATTACCTCTTTGTGCTGTTGAAGTTCGTTTATTTTGAATTTCGCGCAAAGCTACACGAGGGCTATCTGCGCTAGCCGTTCCTAATTTAGCAGTGTAAAACTAGAGGGAAGGCAGTTAGTCATCGCCACCCACCGCCAACTCTTAGGCTACTCTTTTACCAACGAATAGTGGTATTGACCGTCACATTATAACGCACCCACGGCTGAAAGGGCGAGCATGTTTGGTGTGACGGGAATTCGAACCCGCGACCCTCAGATTGCGAGTCGAGCGCCTTAACTACCTGGCCATGCCGGGCCACTGTTGAAATTTAAAACACCTTTATAACAGGAACGTTTACGACGAGTACGGGCCACAATAAATTTCGTAAACTTATAAAAACATCTTATGTTAGTAAAAGTATTTCTTAAAATATATTTAATACAAGTGTTTTTTTTTTTAGTATTATAAATTGAGAGAGTTGCTTTGAAGAAAAGCAAATAATATTTCTTTCTTCTACTTGCTGTAAGTTTCATAATAATACCCCCCCCCCCCGGTAGTTTACCGATATACAACGTTAAAATTAGGAGTTCGATTTCTCGCGATGGACAAAGCGAGGTTAGCCCAATGTGTGGCTTTGAGTTAAAACAAACAAAACAAAAATATAATATTTATAGGGTGATTATGTTTGCCTTTTAAACTGTAGCATACATACCTAACAGAGGCTAAATATTATATTAGACAAAAATATTATTTCAGAATGAAGAGTGTATACGCGCTCATTAATAGCTATAACCTCGTAAAAATCTGGCAAGGATCTCAACAAAACGTGTGTCGGAGGAAGTACAAATTTATTATGAAGTTAAATGACTTCACTAAGCCTAATCTCATTTTGTGTTGTAAGATTACAGTTAAAGCTTCATCCCTCTTTTTCCACGTACAAGTGCACTGCTTATTTGTATCACATTTTATAAATCTCTCTCGAAACTAAAGACATATTGCAAGATTTATGGAAAGCATAAATATGTTTTGCTATTGTATTTACAATTTTTTTTGAGAAATATTCCAATTTTAGTTTAATCGGAAAAGCCAATTTGTGATTTATATTTAGTGACACAACTTGTTCACTCTTACCCAAATTCTTTCCACGAGACTGCCCAAGTTGAATAGCTTTTGACCATAAGCTTCCTAAACTTGTCATAAGTCAAAATTAATCAAAATATGCAGTATTATTTAACCTAGTTTTTAAAGAGAATAACGAAGCTAAATGTGATTCGATTATACTAACTGACATTGTAATGCCTAGAAATTGCACACATTTTCATAATAAAGACTAAATTTCCAAGTTTTGGCAACTATAAAAAATAAAGCCGGATTAATTAAATCAGAAGCACAGTAAACAATTGCCTATGAGTCCACGGGTTCATGGTGTCCAAAGGGTTATTTATTTTGATAGATTATCAAATATATTTTAACTTGGAAATTATCGTATTTCAAAAGTATTATATTTGATAAAAGGTTGTTTTGATGGACAATATGCAAAATTTAAATTCCCAACTTTTTATAGTTAGATAGAAGTTGTACAATTATTTTAACAAGATAAATACAAAATGGGAATTTAAAAACCTGCAAAGAAGGATCGTTAAAAAAGTAGGAAAATAAGGTTGAAGATACTGTAGGCATTATTTACTCAAACTACAAACTATATTTTGGCTACATCCTGTTACCTAAAATTACATTTGGTGGAGTCAAAATAGGGATTTTTAGTTTGAGTAAATAATGTCTACAGTATCTCCAGCCTTGTTTCCTTTTTTTTTTTAAGATTCCTATTTGCAGGTTTTTAAATCCCCAATTTGTTAGCTATTTTCTTTGCTGGCATATTTTTTATGCTCAACTAAGGGCAAACGATTACTTGATATGGTAGCTAACGTTTTACACTGTAATGATAACAAACATAGCTAGTAACTAGCTGATACGGTTCATGATGATTTACTGTAGCTATTGACTATTTGATCGCATTAATTCGAGACGAAAATGTTAAGCTGCAGGTGAAGGTTGTCATGAATAGTTGTTTGAGAATATAGTGAGCATTTTTAGTTTCTGCGTAACTAAATTCTCTGTATATAATGCATAGGAATGGGCAAATATATGCCTAGACTAAGACGCAACCCCCATCAAGCACATATAAAAATATTACCAGTAGAAAAGCGGATTTTTCAAATAAACACATACGTCTAAAACATCGCTTTAAATAAACCTTTGTGTCTTTTAAGGTAATTATTCTACGTATGTGTGTAATAAAATTTATTATTATGTATAGTGATTTTTCTTACTCCTTTACTGCATACATAATATAGGAGTTGGCTCCCGAAAGACACCGATTGTATAGTGTACAAAGCATTGAATATCCACATTTTACAGTCATCTAATGTTCATCTATTATTGGCTGGTAATTCTTTTTTCACCCTGTACTTAAGAGTTTTATAGGAACACCAAAAAGTTGTAAGAAAGCTAACTTGAAGGGGTAATGACAACATCGTTTACACTAAAATTGTGATGTTTTTTAGCTTATGTAAAATATAGAAGAAACAAATCACATTTTCAATACCCTTAAGACCTTCGCAATACCTTATATACCTATTCTACAAAAGGTTTGGGTGCAAGATACTAAGTTGCTTTTGTTGTAGGCTAGCAAGAGAATGATGATGATAATAATAAGAATTACAAATGGGCCATTTGAGCGGATTTTCTTTTCCTTGTAAGTCTAATGTGCGTGCTTTTTGTGTGCATTTTTATATGTGTACAGCCTTAATAGTCAATAGTAAAGGTTTTAAAGTGTTGTTTGAACTGAATATTTACTGTTTAAGATTCTTTTTGCCCGAACGTTCTATTAGGGTTTTGTGCAACTCCTTGCGATCTCTAATATGAACCACTGTCGTGGTTTATGATAAAGACTAAGTTTTCAACTTTAGAAATATTTAAATATATGTACATTATTTTCACCTTAAATACTTTTTTTCGTGAGAGAATCGTTCTTTTTTAACTCGTTTACTTAAAAATGCAAAAGTGATTTTTTGAATTGTTTGTTTTCGTTATTAGCATATATTTTTGAGTTTCAATAGATATCGGCCATGCCACATTCATACAGGTAAACAGTTTATCTTAATATTGTCTCAAAAGTGTCAACGTTATTCTTAATACTGTATGTTATATTTATTAATGAAACTTCTAGCCGATAATATTGTTTAAGTGCTTCATACAATAAGGTGTCTTCAAATCGAGTGGTAATGTAGCGCTTGGTTTCAGCGTTGTTTCACAATCATCTCACGTAGTTCTTCTATCAACATTTCTCATGTTTAACCAGGCTTGACCTATGAAGAATCGTTGTACCTATACTACAGCTGATCCCATTGGCTTTTCATAACCACGATTGTTATAACGATAGTCAGGTAGCGTTTATTGCAAAACTTTTCAAGAATGAAATATTTAATTCTACATAAACAGACATAGCTTTTCTACCCTCCATGTCTAATAATATTAAATCTTAAATTTAACTGATTCAGTGGCGTAGGAAGCGGGGGAGGGGGGGTAACCGCCAATTTTCAATCTATCCCAGTAAAAAATGCATAAAAGTTAGGAAAATTAGTCTCGGGAAAAGCAGGAGAATGTATACAAGTTAATCCAGAACTCAAGAGCTTCCAGG